GAGTCAGTGGTTGAGTCAGTGGTTGAGTGAGTTCGCGGTTGAGTGAGTGAGTGAGTCAGTGGTTGAGTGAGTAAGTCAGTGGTTGAGTGAGTGAGTAAGTCAGTGGTTGAGTGAGTGAGTTCGCGGTTGAGTGAGTGAGTTAGTGGTTGAGTGAGTCAGTGGTTGAGTGAGTGAGTTAGTAGTTGAGTGAGTAAGTCAGTGGTTGAGTGAGTGAGTTCGCGGTTGAGTGAGTGAGTTAGTGGTTGAGTGAGTCAGTGGTTGAGTGAGTGAGTTAGTGGTGAGTGAGTAAGTCAGTGGTTGAGTGAGTGAGTTAGTGGTTGAGTGAGTGAGTCAGTGGTTGAGTGAGTGAGTGAGTCAGTAGTTGAGTGAGTAAGTCAGTGGTTGAGTGAGATAGTTAGTGGTTGAGTGAGTGAGTTAGTGGTTGAGTGAGTGAGCTCGTCACTGAGTGAGTTAGTGGTTGAGTGAGTGAGTCAGTGGTTGAGTGAGTTCGCGGTTGAGTGAGTGAGTGAGTCAGTGGTTGAGTGAGTAAGTCAGTGGTTGAGTGAGTGAGTAAGTCAGTGGTTGAGTGAGTGAGTTCGCGGTTGAGTGAATGAGTTAGTGGTTGAGTGAGTCAGTGGTTGAGTGAGTGAGTTAGTGGTTGAGTGAGTAAGTCAGTGGTTGAGTGAGTGAGTTAGTGGTTGAGTGAGTGAGTCAGTGGTTGAGTGAGTGAGTTCGCGGTTGAGTGAGTGAGTAAGTCAGTGGTTGAGTGAGTGAGTTCGCGGTTGAGTGAGTTCGCGGTTGAGTGAGTGAGTTAGTGGTTGAGTGAGTTAGTGGTTGAGTGAGTAAGTCAGTGGTTGAGTGAGTGAATCAGTGGTTGAGTGAGTGAGTTAGTGGTTGAGTGAGTGAGTCAGTGGTTGAGTGAGTGAGTTCGCGGTTGAGTGAGTAAGTCAGTGGTTGAGTGAGTGAGTTCGCGGTTGAGTGAGTGAGTTAGTGGTTGAGTGAGTCAGTGGTTGAGTGAGTGAGTTAGTGGTTGAGTGAGTAAGTCAGTGGTTGAGTGAATGAGTTAGTGGTTGAGTGAGTGAGTCAGTGGTTGAGTGAGTGAGTGAGTCAGTAGTTGAGTGAGTAAGTCAGTGGTTGAGTGAGTGAGTTCGCGGTTGAGTGAGTGAGTTAGTGGTTGAGTGAGTCAGTGGTTGAGTGAGTGAGTTAGTGGTTGAGTGAGTAAGTCAGTGGTTGAGTGAGTGAGTTAGTGGTTGAGTGAGTGAGTCAGTGGTTGAGTGAGTGAGTTCGCGGTTGAGTGAGTAAGTAAGTCATTGGTTGAGTGAGTGAGTTCGCGGTTGAGTGAGTGAGTTAGTGGTTGAGTGAGTCAGTGGTTGAGTGAGTGAGTTAGTGGTTGAGTGAGTAAGTCAGTGGTTGAGTGAGTGAGTTAGTGGTTGAGTGAGTGAGTCAGTGGTTGAGTGAGTGAGTGAGTCAGTAGTTGAGTGAGTAAGTCAGTGGTTGAGTGAGTGAGTTCGCGGTTGAGTGAGTGAGTTAGTGGTTGAGTGAGTCAGTGGTTGAGTGAGTGAGTTAGTGGTTGAGTGAGTAAGTCAGTGGTTGAGTGAGTGAGTTAGTGTTTGGGTGAGTGAGTCAGTGGTTGAGTGAGTGAGTTCGCGGTTGAGTGAGTGGGTAAGTCAGTGGTTGAGTGAGTGAGTTCGCGGTTGAGTGAGTGAGTTAGTGGTTGAGTGAGTCAGTGGTTGAGTGAGTGAGTTAGTGGTTGAGTGAGTAAGTCAGTGGTTGAGTGAGTGAGTTAGTGGTTGAGTGAGTGAGTCAGTGGTTGAGTGAGTGAGTTCGCGGTTGAGTGAGTGAGTAAGTCAGTGGTTGAGTGAGTGAGTTCGCGGTTGAGTGAGTGAGTTAGTGGTTGAGTGAGTCAGTGGTTGAGTGAGTGAGTTAGTGGTTGAGTGAGTAAGTCAGTGGTTGAGTGAGTGAGTTAGTAGTTGAGTGAGTGAGTCAGTGGTTGAGTGAGTGAGTAAGTCAGTGGTTGAGTGAGTGAGTTAGTGGTTGAGTGAGTGAGTCAGTGGTTGAGTGAGTGAGTTCGCGGTTGAGTGAGTGAGTGAGTCAGTGGTTGAGTGAGTGAGTTCGCGGTTGAGTGAGTGAGTTGGTGGTTGAGTGAGTGAGTCAGTGGTTGAGTGAGTAAGTCAGTGGTTGAGTGAGTGAGTAAGTCAGTGGTTGAGTGAGTGAGTTAGTGGTTGAGTGAGTGAGTCAGTGGTTGAGTGAGTGAGTTCGCGGTTGAGTGAGTGAGTAAGTCAGTGGTTGAGTGAGTGAGTTCGCGGTTGAGTGAGTGAGTTAGTGGTTGAGTGAGTCAGTGGTTGAGTGAGTGAGTCAGTGGTTGAGTGAGTAAGTCAGTGGTTGAGTGAGTGAGTTAGTGGTTGAGTGAGTGAGTCAGTGGTTGAGTGAGTGAGTTCGCGGTTGAGTGAGTAAGTAAGTCATTGGTTGAGTGAGTGAGTTCGCGGTTGAGTGAGTGAGTTAGTGGTTGAGTGAGTCAGTGGTTGAGTGAGTGAGTTAGTGGTTGAGTGAGTAAGTCAGTGGTTGAGTGAGTGAGTTAGTGGTTGAGTGAGTGAGTCAGTGGTTGAGTGAGTGAGTCAGTCAGTAGTTGAGTGAGTAAGTCAGTGGTTGAGTGAGTGAGTTCGCGGTTGAGTGAGTGAGTTAGTGGTTGAGTGAGTCAGTGGTTGAGTGAGTGAGTTAGTGGTTGAGTGAGTAAGTCAGTGGTTGAGTGAGTGAGTTAGTGTTTGAGTGAGTGAGTCAGTGGTTGAGTGAGTGAGTTCGCGGTTGAGTGAGTGAGTAAGTCAGTGGTTGAGTGAGTGAGTTCGCGGTTGAGTGAGTGAGTTAGTGGTTGAGTGAGTCAGTGGTTGAGTGAGTGAGTTAGTGGTTGAGTGAGTAAGTCAGTGGTTGAGTGAGTGAGTTAGTGGTTGAGTGAGTGAGTCAGTGGTTGAGTGAGTGAGTTCGCGGTTGAGTGAGTGAGTAAGTCAGTGGTTGAGTGAGTGAGTTCGCGGTTGAGTGAGTGAGTTAGTGGTTGAGTGAGTCAGTGGTTGAGTGAGTGAGTTAGTGGTTGAGTGAGTAAGTCAGTGGTTGAGTGAGTGAGTTAGTGGTTGAGTGAGTGAGTCAGTGGTTGAGTGAGTGAGTTCGCGGTTGAGTGAGTGAGTAAGTCAGTGGTTGAGTGAGTGAGTTAGTGGTTGAGTGAGTAAGTCAGTGGTTGAGTGAGTGAGTTAGTGGTTGAGTGAGTTAGTCAGTGGTTGAGTGAGTGAGTGAGTCAGTAGTTGAGTGAGTGAGTCAGTAGTTGAGTGAGTAAGTCAGTGGTTGAGTGAGTGAGTTAGTGGTTGAGTGAGTGAGTTAGTGGTTGAGTGAGTGAGCTCGTCACTGAGTGAGTTAGTAGTTGAGTGAGTGAGTCAGTGGTTGAGTCAGTGGTTGAGTGAGTTCGCGGTTGAGTGAGTGAGTGAGTCAGTGGTTGAGTGAGTAAGTCAGTGGTTGAGTGAGTGAGTAAGTCAGTGGTTGAGTGAGTGAGTTCGCGGTTGAGTGAGTGAGTTAGTGGTTGAGTGAGTCAGTGGTTGAGTGAGTGAGTTAGTGGTTGAGTGAGTCAGTGGTTGAGTGAGTGAGTTAGTGGTTGAGTGAGTAAGTCAGTGGTTGAGTGAGTGAGTTCGCGGTTGAGTGAGTGAGTTAGTGGTTGAGTGAGTCAGTGGTTGAGTGAGTGAGTTAGTGGTTGAGTGAGTAAGTCAGTGGTTGAGTGAGTGAGTTAGTGGTTGAGTGAGTGAATCAGTGGTTGAGTGAGTGAGTGAGTCAGTAGTTGAGTGAGTAAGTCAGTGGTTGAGTGAGTGAGTTAGTGGTTGAGTGAGTGAGTTAGTGGTTGAGTGAGTGAGCTCGTCACTGAGTGAGTTAGTGGTTGAGTGAGTGAGTCAGTGGTTGAGTCAGTGGTTGAGTGAGTTCGCGGTTGAGTGAGTGAGTGAGTGGTTGAGTGAGTAAGTCAGTGGTTGAGTGAGTGAGTAAGTCAGTGGTTGAGTGAGTGAGTTCGCGGTTGAGTGAGTGAGTTAGTGGTTGAGTGAGTCAGTGGTTGAGTGAGTGAGTTAGTAGTTGAGTGAGTAAGTCAGTGGTTGAGTGAGTGAGTTCGCGGTTGAGTGAGTGAGTTAGTGGTTGAGTGAGTCAGTGGTTGAGTGAGTGAGTTAGTGGTTGAGTGAGTAAGTCAGTGGTTGAGTGAGTGAGTTAGTGGTTGAGTGAGTGAGTCAGTGGTTGAGTGAGTGAGTGAGTCAGTAGTTGAGTGAGTAAGTCAGTGGTTGAGTGAGATAGTTAGTGGTTGAGTGAGTGAGTTAGTGGTTGAGTGAGTGAGCTCGTCACTGAGTGAGTTAGTGGTTGAGTGAGTGAGTCAGTGGTTGAGTGAGTTCGCGGTTGAGTGAGTGAGTGAGTCAGTGGTTGAGTGAGTAAGTCAGTGGTTGAGTGAGTGAGTAAGTCAGTGGTTGAGTGAGTGAGTTCGCGGTTGAGTGAATGAGTTAGTGGTTGAGTGAGTCAGTGGTTGAGTGAGTGAGTTAGTGGTTGAGTGAGTAAGTCAGTGGTTGAGTGAGTGAGTTCGCGGTTGAGTGAGTGAGTTAGTGGTTGAGTGAGTCAGTGGTTGAGTGAGTGAGTTAGTGGTTGAGTGAGTAAGTCAGTGGTTGAGTGAGTGAGTTAGTGGTTGAGTGAGTGAGTCAGTGGTTGAGTGAGTGAGCTCGTCACTGAGTGAGTGAATCAGGGCGTTGAGAGAGGTAAAAGTTGATTCTCCGGTTGATTGCGTGGGGTCGTTGGCCGAGTGAGTCCGTGGTAGGTGTGCGAATCGAGGACTATTGAGGACTGCAGTTGAGTACAGGCTGAGCGATCGTGACTGCCTGGACCGACCCTCCACTCTCATCTCCAAGTCTCATTTCCACATCCACCAGATCCCACAGCCTCTACAGCCTCCACAGTTCCCGCAGCCTTCACAGTTTCTTACTCCCCCCACTGTCTCCACGTGTCCGTCGTCCCCACAGAGCTGCTGCCCGCCATGGCGACCACCACCACCACCGCCGCCGCCGCCGATGACGTCCTGCACAGCGGATACCTGCGCAAGCAGAAGAGCTCGCACCGCCGCTTCTTCGTGCTGCGCTGCGCCAGCTCCTCCGGGCCCGCCCGCCTCGAGGCGTGGGACAGCGAGAAACGCTTCCGCGACAGCCTCCAGAAGCGCCAGCGCGACAGCAGCGGCATCGTCGGCGTCGGCACGGTCGATGGCGGTGGCGGCGGCGTCGGCGGTACCGCGGAGAAGCCGCGGGCTCCGGCGGGCACCGGCGGCGCTGGCGGCACCGGCGGAGGAGGAAGTTGCAAGTCGTCGTGGTGCTCGCCGCGCCGCTCGCTGGAGCTGGCGCAGTGCCTGGCGGTGTCGCGAGGCGCCAACGCCCGGCACGCTCACCTGCTGGTGCTCTTCACGGCCGAGCACAGCCTCGCCGTGGCGGCCGACAGCGACGAGGCGCTGGCGGCGTGGTTCGGCGCCATCCAGGCGCTGAGGGCCAAGGAGCCGGAGCCCCAGGGCGGACGCGGTAAATTGCGGAGCGTGTTGCGGTGGCGGTGGTGGTGGTTGTGGTTGTGTTTACGGTGCTGTTGTGTGTGGAGAGAGAGTTTCCCATAGCTGGGCAGTGTGCTCATGGCCAGCTCCGCTTTGACAGCAGAGGTCTCGCTCCGAATCAGTCGAGCGGCATGTTTTTCATCGGCTGCGTAACGATGTGTGGAAGCTACCTGGTCTGTCGCTCTCCGCACAAAGCTTCGGGTCTTCTCGACCACAGTCATTCCCTCCCTTCTCTACGCTCGTGAAATGTGGACCCCTCTAATGGAGCATCTGCGCCGGTTAGAAACATTCAGGCTGGAATGCCTACGGTCTACTCTCGGTTTAACCAGGCGGGATTGTGTGAGGAGCTCACAAATCCTTGAAAGATCTGGACACATTCTCATCGGTGAGCTCCTCCGTTAGGCAAGGCTGCGTTGGCTGGGTCATGTTGCCCTCATGCCCAGTCACCTCATGCCCAAACAGCTTCTGTTTGGGCACATAAAGGGGGCTAAACGGGCACGACATGAGCTAGAGAAGAGATGGAGTGATGTGGTACAGGAGGACGTGGAGCTGAGTGGACTTGCCGATGACTGGTACCAGCGGTGTCAAGATCGGCCTCAGTGGAGGAGGCTCGTAAAGGACGCTACTGGGCAGTTGGAGGCAGTCGCCCTCCAACAACAACGGAGGGCGGAGGAGCGACGCTCACAACAACGAGCGGAGCGCCGGGTGACTAAAGCGCAGCAAGTTGGCACAGTAGGGGGCACAGGTGGTGCATCTACCGGTCATCTCAGTCAGCTAACCGATGGCACCTGGGTCTGTCCCGTGACCTCCTGCCAGCGGGCGTTCGACACTTCACGTGGCCTCAAAGTGCACCTTGCCTGGCACAAGTGTCGTGGTGATGTCACCGTCACTTAGTGGCGAATGGCGGATATTGGTATTGCTTGTTGTGGTGGTGGTGGAGGAGATGGTAGTGATGATGATGCTGGTGATGTTGCAGATGATGGCGCTGTTGGTGGAGATTGTGATGCTGGTTTGGTGGTGGAGATAGGGAGTGGTAGTGTAGCGGGTAGCGCGCTGCGCTATGTACCTGGCGACCCGGGTTCGATTCCCGCTCGCAGCCAACACCAGTGACGATAATCTGAACCAGTCCCGGGCCTCCCCTAGGTATACTCGGCCTCAAATTAGAAAGCAAAGGCGGCTGAGTGTGTGTGGTGCTGGCAAACCACTGCCTGGTGTGCGGTACCGGCCTTCATCGGTGCTACTCGCAGCACTTACCCCAACAGTCTGTGAAGGCTATACGGGAGATCTTTCACATTGTTTGGTGGTGCTGGTAAAGATTGTGATAATGGTGGTGGTTTTGTAGCCAGCTGGCGGTGATGATGAATCGTAATCATATTTCTATTGGTGGAATCCGATGAGCTGTAAAGAGTTTTTTTATTACAGGTGTCCAGTGGGGGCAAAGGGGTCAGAACAAAAACACGATAAGAGTGCAAAGTATAGGAGAGGTAAGAAAATAAAGAAATAAGTATAACCCGTAAAAACAAAGTTTTTCACTATAAATCCTTTATATGCGTGGCGGCTAGAGTCCTCTCGTCCTCTGGCTTGAGATGGCTGCCACCTATGGGTCAGATGATTGTCTGCCAGTATTAAGCAATTGGTAATTAAATATTTAATTTGTTTTCCCTAAACAGTGTAGAATTTTGGAAAAAAATTTTCACGAACATTAATTGTCACGCACAACGAGTCTGTGTGCAAAATGTCAGCTCGATTGGATCACGGGAAGTGGGTTAAAAAACGACGGAAAGATTTGCACGGTCGTAAGCAAGCAAGCAAGCACGCAAGCAAGCGAACTTGATATAAAGGATTTAAAAAATTAACCCGTAAAAACAAAGTTTTTCACTCTAAATCCTTTATATGCGTGGCGGCTAGAGTCCTCTCATCCTCTGGCTTGAGATGGCTGCCACCTATGGGTCAGATGATTGTCTGCCAGCATTAAGCAATTGGTAATTAAATATTTATAAAAAATTTCCCTAAACAGTGTAAAATTTTGGAATTTTTTTTTACGCAAATAAATTGTCACGCACAACGAGTCTGTGTGCAAAATGTCAGCTCGATTGGATCACGGGAAGTGGGTTAAAAAGCGACCGAAAGATTTGCACGGTCGTAAGCAAGCAAGCACGCAAGCACGCAAGCAAGCGAACTTAATATAAAGGATTTAAAAATAAATACAATTGAAACAAAACTTTTTATTATTTTACCAGAGAAGACCCCCTGAGCCATGTAGCTTCTTTTTAAGAAGCGACCTCGCCATGACAAATTGTATCTCAACGAATTGGCTCATGAGGAAATGTATCGCAGCCAAATAATCTAAAAGCATGTTTCTAAATGTGGAGGGAAAAAACGGAAGACGTGGATAAAAAAAATCCACAGACTCGAAATATACAGCAGCAGCAGGCGTTGTCAGGGTCGGGATCGAACCCACGACCTCCTGCATGCCAGGCGAGGTAGTTAACATCTCCTAGCCACCGTGATGATGATGGTGAGAGAGAGACACGCAAACTCCAAATATACAGCAGCAGCAGGCGTTGTCAGGGTCGGGATCGAACCCACGACCTCCTGTATACCAGGCGAGGTAGTTAACATCTCCTAGCCACTGTGATGATGATGAGAGAGACACGCAAACTCCAAATATACAGCAGCAGCAGGCGTTGTCAGGGTCGGGATCGAACCCACGACCTCCTGCATACCAGGCGAGGTAGTTAACATCTCCTCGCCACCGTGATGATGATGGTGAGAGAGAGACACGCAAACTCCAAATATACAGCAGCAGGCGTTGTCAGGGTCGGGATCAAACCCACAACCTCCTGTGTACCAGGCGAGGTAGTTAACATCTCCTAACCACTGTGATGATGATGGTAAGAGACACGAAAACTCCAAATATACAGCAGCAGGCGTTGTCAGGGTCGGGATCGAACTCACGACCTCCTGCATACCAGGCGAGGTAGTTAACATCTCCTAGCCACCCTGATGATGGTGAGAGAGAGACACGAAAACTCCAAATATATAGCAGCAGGCGTTGTCAGGGTCGGGATCGAACCCACAACCTCCTGTGTACCAGGCGAGGTAGTTAACATCTCCTAGCCACCGTGATGATGATGAGAGAGAGACACGCAAACTCCAAATATACAGCAGGCATCAGGGTCGGGATCGAACCCACAACCTCCTGCATACCAGGCGAGGTAATTAACATCTCCTTGCCACCGTGATGATGATGGTGAGAGAGAGACACGAAAACTCCAAATATACAGCAGCAGGCGTTGTCAGGGTCGGGATCGAACCCACAACCTCCTGCATACCAGGCTAGGTAGTTAACATCTCCTAGCCACTGTGATGATGGTGAGAGAAACACACAAACTCCAAATATACAGCAGACGTCAGGGTCGAGATCGAACCCACAACCTCCTGTACACCAGGCGAGGTAGTTAACATCTCCTAGCCACCCTGATGATGATGAGAGAGAGAGACACGAAAACTCCAAATATACAGCAGCAGGCATTGTCAGGGTCGGGATCAAACCCACAGCCTCCTACAAACCAAGCGAGTTAGATGGTTGTGGTGCTGGTGGGGGTGCTGGTGGTGATGGTGGTGGTGGAGACAATCGAGATTGTGGTGATGGTGGTGTTGGAGATGCTGGTGGTGGTGTAGGTGGCGAGTAGTGGAGAGTGGTGTTGGTGGTGGTGTTGTAAATGATGGGTGCCATGGTGGCTAGTAGATGTTTACTACCTCACCTGGTATACAGGAGGTCGTGGGTTCGATCCCAACCCTCATGCCTGCTGCTGTATATTTGGAGTTTGTGTGTCTCTCTCATCATCATCACGGTGTCTATGAGATGTTAACTACCTCGCCTGGTATGCAGGAGGTCGTGGGTTCGATCCCAACCCTCATGCCTGCTGCTGTATATTTGGAGTTTGCGTGTCTCTCTCATCATCATCACGGTGTCTATGAGATGTTAACTACCTCGCCTGGTATGCAGGAGGTCGTGGGTTCGATCCCAACCCTCATGCCTGCTGTATATTTGAAATTTGCGTGTCTCTCTCATCATCATCACGGTGTCCTATGAGATGTTAACTACCTCGCCTGGTATACAGGAGGTCGTGGGTTCGATCCCAACCCTCATGCCTGCTGCTGTATATTTGGAGTTTGCGTGTCTCTCTCATCATCATCACGGTGTCTATGAGATGTTAACTACCTCGCCTGGTATACAGGAGGTCGTGGGTTCGATCCCAACCCTGATGATGCCTGCTGCTGTATATTTGTAGTTTGCGTGTCTCTCTCCTCATCATCATCACGGTGTCTAGAAGATGTTAACTACCTCGCCTGGTATACAGGAGGTCGTGGGTTCGATCTCAACCCTCATGCCTGCTGTATATTTGTAGTTTGCGTGTCTCATCATCATCATCACGGTGTCTAGAAGATGTTAACTACCTCGCCTGGTATGCAGGAGGTCGTGGGTTCGATCCCAACCCTGATGATGCCTGCTGCTGTATATTTGTAGTTTGCGTGTTCTTCCCGTGGTCGTGTGGATTTTTCTCCGGGTCCTCGGGTTTTTGCCTCGCATTTAGAATCACGCGTTTAGAGTTTTTGGCTCCGATAAATTTCTACGTGACAAGCCACTTCGTTGAGCTATAATATGTGGCCAGGTAGCTTCTGAAAAACAGCTGTTTCGCTCCCTGGCCTTTACCTGTGAAAATAAACAATTACACCATGGGAACCTCATTTGCCAGTAAAAATATGATAATTGGTTTTTTACCCTTCTATCTGGCAACAAAACTGATACCTTTTTACAAGGAGTCATGTTTGCATAGACCACAATACCTGCAGTCATAATGCAAACAAAAAACACAACTCTGATAATGTATGCACTGTCCTTGAAGTTGATTGGTCCACACCCGAGACAGCTTTCCTTAGAGCCTAGTCTCACATGGTGTTGGACCAGAAGACGCCAAAAGGCGCACAACTCAAAGACAATGCACCATCAGAGTATGAGAGCTCGGGGTGAAGCATTTACAACTTTGGAACCTCATTTGCCAGTAAAAATATGATAATTGGTTTTTTACCCTTCTATCTGGCAACAAAACTGACACCTTTTTACAAGGAGTCATGTTTGCATAGCCCACAATACCTGCAGTTATAATGCAAACAAAAACATAACTCTGATAATGTGCGCACTGTCTTTGAAGCCTTTTGGCGTCATCTGGTCCAACACCATGTGAGACTAGGCTCTAAGGAAAGCTGTCTCGGGTGTGGACCAATCAACTTCAATGACAGTGCACATACATTATCAGAGTTATGTTTTTTGTTTGCATTATGGCTGCAGGTATTGTGGTCTATGCAAACATGACTCCTTGTAAAAAGTTTTGTTGCCAGATAGAAGGGTAAAAAACCAATTATCAATAAACAATTAGTTTAGTTTCAGTGGGGCTGCTGGTGGTAGCAGTGGAGATTGTGATGATGGTGGTGGAGGAGATGCTGGTGGTGATGGTGGATGCTGTGGTGAGTGGTGTAGATGATGGTTGTATGGAACTGATTGTGGTGGTGTAGCGGTTAGCGCACTGCACTGCGTGCCTGGCGACCCGAGTTGGATTCCCTCTCTCGACCAACACCGGTGACGATTATCTGAACTCGTCCTGGGCATCCCCTAGGTCGGCTCAGCCTCAAACTAGCTGATGTTATTGATGATTGCTGCTGATGCCAATGCTGATGATGACTACGTTGTTGCTGCCGATGGCAATGCTGATGATGCAAATGCTGATGATGCCAATGCTGATGATGCCAATGCTGATGATGCCAATGCTGATGATGCCAATGCTGATGATGATGACAACACTGATGATGACAATGCTGATGATGACAAAGCTGATGATGACCACGCTACCGATGACAACGTTGATGTTGACTTCGCTGCCGATGACAACGTTGATGATGACTATGCTGATGATGACAACGTTGATGATGACTATGCTGATGATGACGACGCTGATGATGACTACGTTGATGATGACAACGCTGATGATGACAAAGCTGCCGATGACAACATTGCCTATGACAAAGCTGATGATGACTGCTACCGATGACAACACTGCCGATGACAACACTGCCTATGACAAAGCTGATGACAACACTGCCTATGACAACACTGACGATGACCAAGCTGCCGATGACTACGGCATGCCGCGAACGCCGCCACCGTCACGCGACGGCGGCCGTGACGGCACCGTTTGATTTATTTGCTTTCTGTGCCGGCGCCGCCACCGCCACCGCCACGCGCGCAGGCGATTGCGCGTCGGCACGCGACGTGTGGCAGGTGACGGTGCGCGCCAGGGGCCTGGGCGCGCCACCCTGCGGGCTGGCCGGGGTCCACCGCCTCTGCCTGTCGGAGCGCTCCCTCTCGCTGGTGCCGCTGGGCGCAAGCGCGGCCGCAGTCTCCCTGCAGCTGCCCAACATCCGGCGCTGCGGACACTCGGACCACTACTTCTTCATGGAGGTGTCACCGTTGTTGCCGTCGCGCGCAAGCCACCTCGCGTTTTCGTTTTGTTCGCCTTGCCACGCGCCACGGTCGAGATCGGACCCACAGCCTCCTACACACCGAGCGAGTTAGATGAAATCACCCTTAAATAAATACGTACTAATGACGATTTAAAGCTTTCGTGACTGCAGGGATTCATCTTCTTGGTTCTTTCGGTAAAGTCACGTAGAAGGGAAGTAATAAAATAATAAAAATAAAACATAATAAAATAATTCTCACGACGTTTCGGCTACAACGCAAGCAGCCGTCTTCACCTGAAGACGGCTGCTTGCATTGTAGCCGAAACGTCGTGAGAACCAAGAAGATACGTACTAATGGTTGTGGTGTTGGTGGTGCTGATGTTGGTTGTGATGGTGGTGGTGGTAGAGACAGTGGAAATTGTGGTGATGGTGGTGTTGGAGATGCTGGTGGTGGTGTTGGAGATGCTGGTGGTGATGGTGGCGAGTAGTGGAGAGTAGTGTTGGTGGTGGTGTTGTAAATGATGGGTGCCATGGTTGCTATAAGATGTTAACTACCTCGCCTGGTATACAGGAGATTGATGGTTCGATCCCGACCCTCATACCTGCTGTAGATTTGGAGTTTGCGTGTCTCTTTCATCATAATCACGGTGGCGAGGAGATGTTAACTACCTCGCCTGGTATGTAGGAGGTCGTGGGTTCGATACCGACCCTGACGCCTGCTGTAGATTTGGAGTTTGCGTGTCTCTCTCTCTCATCGTCATCACGGTGGCTAGGAAATGTTGGAGGGGGAGCGTATATTTAATCTGGGTTGGAGGGGGAAGAGCGCCTTGACAAAGTAATTTACATATCAAGAGGACTTTAGAATATTTATGGAAAATGCAGATATGGGATTAGTCACTACTTGTGGAATGCGTAGGAGGTGGGCGGGGGGTTTCAAAGTCAAAGAACCAAGAAGATGAATCCCTGCAGTCACGAAAGAAGCTTTAAATAGAAATTTTATAATGTTTTATTTGTATTATTTAATAATTTTTATTATTTTACTAAGTATTTTTTGATTATTATTTCTTTTTTTTATTCCATTTCTTATATTTTTTTTATTGTGTTGTATTTTTATTATTCGATTACTTCCCTTCCACGTGACTTTACCGAAAGAACCAAGAAGATGAATCCCTGCAGTCACGAAAGCTTTAAATCGAAATTTTATTATGTTTTATTCGTATTATTTAATAATTTTTATAATTCTACTATGTAGTATTTTTATTATTTATTTTCATTATTCTATTTCTTTTATTTTCTTATCATGTTGTATTTTTATTATTCGATTACTTCCCTTCCACGTGACGACTTTACCGAAAGAACCAAGAAGACGAATCCCTGCAGTCACGAAAGAAGCTTTCAATCGACCTTTACACTCGGTGCGGCCGTGGTTGGCCCACTTGACCGCGGCGGTGTCTGCGCGCGTGTGCGCAGGTGGGTCGCTCGGCCGTCACGGGGGAGGGCGAGCTCTGGATGGCCGTGGACGACGCGGTCGTGGCCCAGAGGATGCACGAGACCATCCTCGGCGCCATGAAGGCGCTTAGCAGCGGCGGCGGCGGTGCCGGAATCGCCGGCGCCGACGACCCCCGGACCCCGAGGGCCTCCTCCTCTTCCGCCAACGCCGGGCCTCCTTCCCCGGTGGCCCCGTCCTCAGCCGGTGCCGGCGCCGGTGCCGCCAACGCCGGAACCGCCTCCCGGCGCCAACCGCCCGCCGGAGTCAGCCGCTCGCGGGAGGGAGACGCGGCGGCGACGGCGGCGACGGTGACGGTGGCGGTCGCCGCGTCCCCTTCCCGGCGTTTGGGGGGGGGGCCCTGGCGGCGGGGGGTGACGGCGACGAACAGAGGGGGCACGGTGACCACCTCGGCGGTGACCTCGGCGGTGACCTCGGCTTTGACCGCGGCGGCGGCGCTGCCCCCGGTCCGCTCGGTGTCGGGCTCGCTGAGCGACGGGGGTTTCGCTTCCTCGTCGGACGAGTCGGGCTCCTGCGTCTCGCCGGATCCGGACGGAGCCGGCGGGGAGCTTCCCCTGGTCGTGGCGGCGGCGGGGCAGCCTCCGTCGCGGGCCCCGATTCGCCGGACCGCGTCGCTCTCTTCGGCGGGTGCCTACGCCGGTGGCGGCGGCGGTAGCGCCGGTGGCTGCGTCGACCGAAAAGGGGGGAGCGGAAGAGGTGAGACTCCGCGGTGGGTCCTGGCGCGGGCGTCCGTGACGTCGCTGGAGGAATTGAGTCCTCACCGCGCCGCGTCTCGCTCCGCTGCCGGCGTCGTGGCCGGTGTTACCGCCACCGCCGCCGCCTCGATCTCCTCCTCGCTGGGATCGGCGTCGCCAAAATCGTCGAGCTCGCTGAGCGACCAGGCTTTCTTGGACGACGACGAAGACGACGACGACGAAGACGACGACGACGACGATCATGACGGCGACGGCGTCGGCGGCTTCCGTGGCGTTGGTTGCGAACGGGCGCGCGCCGACGACGACGGGGGCTACGTGTCCATGCAGCCCGGCGTGGCGCCGGGGCGGCAGCCTTCGCAACCGGCGGCCGTGGCGGTCCCGGTGCCGACGCCGGCGTCAACGCCGCAGTCGGACTACGTGCCCATGACCTACAACAACAACAGCAGCGACGACAACCGCGACCGCCGGCAACGCGTCGGCAACAACAACAACAACGGCAATAACCGCCACCGCCGGAGTTGCCCCTCGGAGCCGCGGAACGTGACCGGCGGCGCCGGCGGCGGCGGGAGGGGCGGCGCCAACGCGGGTTACGTGCTCATGACGCCGTCACCCGACGCGGCCTTCCCATGGCCGGGCTTGCCCCCTGAGGCGGACGACGATGCCGACGATTACATGAGCATGGCGCCGGCGGGGCCGGGGATCGATGACGACGATTTCGGCGGTGGCGGCGGCGGCGTCGGCTACAACCGCGGCAACAACGGCAACGTCGCGGCCGGATCTCCGCGTCGCGACCGGCGCCACCAGCAGCAGCGCCGGCGGCAGCAGCAGCAGCAACGGCAGCACTGGGACGTCGGGGACGGTCACGACGGGCCCTACTGCTACTACTCGCTGCCCCGCTCGCTCCGCCCGGTGGGGCCCGGCTTGCACCGCACGGCCAGCCTCCACACCCAGCAGCAGCAGCAGGTGCCGCCGCCGCCGGCGCGTGGCCTCACCGCCCAGCCTGTGCCAAGCGCCGGGGCCGGCGTCACGCAACCGCCGGCCGGCCACGACGCTTCGGCCCAACCCGGCCCCGGCACCCGCGCCGGCCTCCACATTCAGTTCCGTCGTAGCAGCAGCAGCGGCGGCGGCGGCGGCGGCGGCGTTCAGCCGGCATTCGACGTCCAGCCCGGCCGCAACACGCCCTTCAGGCCGGGCCGACGCTGCCTCACCCCCGTGTCTCCCCGTCGCAGTCCCGGGCCGCCTAGTCCCGTCGGCTTCATTCCCCGGTCCCAGAGCTCTCAGGATTTGGGAAGGCCCGGCAGGGGCACCGTGCCGGGAGGCCCGGGAGGTGAGGGTGGGGGGCCGGCGACGAGGGGTGGAGTTGGGGGGCCGTCAGGCAGGAGGATCGGGCGTGGCGGTGAGGAGGAGGAGGAGGAGGTGGAGAGGCTGGGGGGTGACTACGTACGGATTCACTACGAGGCCGCGCCGAAACCCCCGGGGCCCACGGGCCCCCCGGTCGGCAGGGGCCCCGCGGGGTGGCGTGGAGCAGCCCCCCTTTTGGGCGGCGGCGGTGGCGCCGACGCCGCGGGGGGCCCCGACTACACGGAGATGGAGCTGCCCGCGGGAGGGGCAGACGGGGAGGGACGGGGCGCGCTGCACTACGCGGCGCTCGACCTGGGAGAGGAAGGCCCCCCCGGTGGGGGGCCCCTGGGGGGAGACGGGGGGGCCGACTACGCCAGCATTGACTTCCGGGCACGCGGGGAGAAGGGGCCACGCGGAAGGTGCGGCGGCGGCGGGATGGGGGGCACCGTCTGAGATGCGGGGATGTCGACGTTGACGCCAAAGCCAACATCAACACCAACATCACCACCAACATCAACACCAACATCGCCACCAACATCGCCACCAACATCGACACCAACATAAACATCGCCACCAACATCGCCACCAACATCGCCACCAACATCGCCACCAACATCAACATCGCCACCAACATCGCCACCAACATCGCCACCAACATCGCCACCAACATCAACATCGCCACCAACATCGCCACCAACATCAACATCGCCACCAACATCGCCACCAACATCGCCACCAACATCGCCACCAACATCGCCACCAACATCGCCACCAACATCAACATCGCCACCAACATCGCCACCAACATCGCCACCAACATCGCCACCAACATCAACATCGCCACCAACATCGCCACCAACATCGCCACCAACATCGCCACCAACATCGCCACCAACATCAACATCGCCACCAACATCGCCACCAACATCGCCACCAACATCGTCACCAACATCAACACCAACATCAACACCAACATCAACACCAACATCAACACCAACATCGCCACCAACATCGCCACCAACATCAACACCAACATCGCCACCAACATCACCACCAACATCGCCACCAACATCGCCACCAACATCAACACCAACATCAACACCAACATCGCCACCAACATCAACATCGCCACCAACATCGCCACCAACATCAACATCGCCACCAACATCGCCACCAACATCGCCACCAACATCGCCACCAACATCGCCACCAACATCGCCACCAACATCAACATCGCCACCAACATCGCCACCAACATCGCCACCAACATCGCCACCAACATCAACATCGCCACCAACATCGCCACCAACATCGCCACCAACATCGCCACCAACATCGCCACCAACATCAACATCGCCACCAACATCGCCACCAACATCGCCACCAACATCGCCACCAACATCGTCACCAACATCAACACCAACATCAACACCAACATCAACACCAACATCAACACCAACATCGCCACCAACATCGCCACCAACATCAACACCAACATCGCCACCAACATCACCACCAACATCGCCACCAACATCGCCACCAACATCAACACCAACATCAACACCAACATCAACACCAACATCGCCACCAACATCAACACCAACATCGCCACCAACATCAACACCAACATCGCCACCAACATCACCACCAACATCGCCACCAACATCAACACCAACATCGCCACCAACATCGCCACCAACATCGCCACCAACATCGCCACCAACATCGCCACCAACATCGCCACCAACATCGCCACCAACATCGCCACCAACATAAACATCGCCACCAACATCACCACCAACATCGCCACCAACGCCAACATCATCACCAACATCACTACCAACATCGCCACCAACACCACCAACCCCAACATCGTCGCCAACCAACATCACCACCAACATCACCACCAACATCACCACCAACATCGCCACCAACATCGACATCGCCAACAACATCACCGCCAACACCAACATTGCCATCTCTGCGCGAGTCTGTGGGTCTCTGTGTGAGTTTGTGGGTCTATGCGCGAGTCTGTGGGTCTATGTGTGAGTCTGTGGGTCAATGCGCGAGTCTGTGGGTCAATGCGCGAGTCTGTGGTCTCTGTGTGAGTCTGTGTGAGTCGGCTGGTCTCTTAAGTCTACGAGCCACAAAAGTGAATTGAATTCAATTGCAGAAGAAACTTGCAGCACGTGGGGCGAAACGTCGGACAACACGCCGACAAAAGACCCATGCGTTGACTCACGGACTCCAGTCACCTCTCGCTCAAGGACTCTCCCCACGCCTGAGACTCGACTCTCCGGCAATTCACCAGGATTTGGACTCAACGCTTTCACCCACCATGCAAAGGAACTACGGACAGTGACACGACCACTCGCAGTGACCGGGTTTGCCAAGACAGAAACGTGTCTCCGCCGGTATCACCTGGGGATGGAACGTCGGCTTGCCGGCAAAGGGATAATAACGTCGCACGATCGACGTTCAGGGCTCGATCGGAGGGCTTTCAAATGCCTTTTGCGTGTGTGGCGTGGCACAGTCGGTGCATCTACCGGTCGTCTCGGTCAGCCATCCCCACGGCACCTGCTGGGTCTGACCCATGAGCTCCTGTCCCCGACAGACCTGTTCTTCACCTGAGGACGGCTGCTTGCGCTGTGACGCTGTCTTTCCGACAGACCTGTTCTTCACCTGAGTACAGCTGCTTGCGTTGCGACGCTGTCTTTCCGACAGACCTGGTTTTCACCTGAGGACAGCTGCTTGCGTTGTGACGCTGTCTTTCCGACAGACCTGTTCTTCACCTGAGGACGGCTGCTTGCGCTGTGACGCTGTCTTTCCGACAGACCTGTTCTTCACCTGAGGACGGCTGCTTGCGTTGTGACGCTGCCTTTCCGACAGACCTGGTCTTCACCTGAGGACGGCTGCTTGCGTTGTGGCCGAAACGTCGTGAGAATTGTATTTTATAATGTTTTATTTTTATTATTTTATTATTTCCCTTCTACGTGATGACTTTACCGAAAGAACCAAGAAGATGAATCCCTGCAGTCACGAAAGAAGCTTTCAATCGAGCCTTGGACACTTCACGTGGCCTCGAAGTGCACCGGGCCCAGCACAGTCGTCGTGGCGACGTCACCGTCAGTGGCGGACT